ATGGCGGCGTTTGTTCACATTTGGTAGGATACGACGCAGTTTTGATTCCCAGCCCTGGTTAATGTCACCTTAGGGGCCCCGTAGTTTTCCCCCAGTAATTATTTGTTTACATGTGCACTATTTCAGATACAAATATGAACTTGATATCAGTTTAAATTTAAGATTATATTCATATTTCTGATTTTTTAAGTAATGACTCTAACGTGTTTAACATAATATTTCAACTAAGCATCACTCTGCATTTGTTTTAAGATAATAGCTTTACACATTTATTTTAACATTTTTGTTTGTTTATGAACCACAGCCTTGAAGCTGTAATTTGTTGTTTATATATTCTGTTTTAGAAACCCGATCAATCCTTTATTGAAGTGAAATCTATCACATTAAATATATAAACATATTGTTGAATATATGCTCATGTGTGTATGCATACCTGTTTTTTTTAATGTTTTAGTTAGTCGTTCGTGCTATTTATCCTTTTAATGGCCAGTAACCAAATTTGTAATATTTAAATTTTGATCACAGTGTAAGTACACTAAGTACACTGCCTTTTGTCCATAGTTTATTGTTCATTTCTTGGGGGCTGAGGTTGGCAGATGAAGTTTTTTTGACTTGCGGCCACGGCCGCAAGCCATTTGTTTTGGAAAAGTTGTTCCAGTTAGGTGTTTTCCTGCTTGCTTACATTTGTTAGAGCATGATTGAACGGGAAACCAGTCTATGTTTCCGCTGCAATCGTGTCAATCGCAACTTTTCAGCCCTTTCCGTCACTCTTCGAATCAATGATAATAGCCGAGACAGTTCCGATTGCAATCGTGACAATTCGGGCGAGTCCGCCATACTGCGGAATCAGACGAAGTAATATTACGGAAATCGAAGCTATTTTAGTTACTTCGGTAATTCCAGTTTGTTTATATAAATAGGATTTCTATTTTTACTTGATTTATCGGTTTAAAGAAGAAATAAATTATAAACGAAATTGTTCCGTCTCAAATCTTTTTCAAGACGCAAAAGTTAGTTTCTTTTATAATTGGTTTTTGTCTTTATTAGTTTTATACAATAGAGAATGGTTATTGTAGTAGTATTCCGTCTCCAAAGGGCGGTCCTGCTTACTAAAAGATCGTGACCGAATCACAATGATCGAGTTATATTTAGATCTACTGAGTCTTTTATTAACGTAGAGTTTAAACGTCTTGGTGTGGTAATCTAAAAAAAGCCCATACATATCATTAACCTTACCACGTGCTGATCTACAGATAGCGCATCCTGTGTTGTCGGTATATCTGTGATCATAGATACTTTAGATGTAACATAGTTGATACATGCTTATTAATTGGTACCACGTAACGAAGTCTTTTAGCGCATTTAGCGCATTTACTTTATAGCTGCTAAATAAATGAAATTAGCAACTGCCAAAACGAATGACTCTCTCTGCGAAAAAAGTGGAAATGAAATGTGCACACTTGTTTCCCTTCAGTATGATAGATAGATCTCCACGTGGGAGAGCCAATGTTAGTATTTTTACGATTGATTATTTTCTTTATTAGTTTTATACAATAGAGAAAAGATTTCAAATCGTTTTTGACAAAAAAAATTCGTTTTTACAAAAAAAGTTGTTACTGTTATCGTCAGCATGTTCCTGTTCAGTTATAATCAGTGGACTTCTGGTCCTTCTTTTGTCCAAATTTGCATGCATAACACTGGAGCTCAAACAAATGGGCACAGGTGCTCGTCCAGTCTTGGGCTTACCCTACCTATCCCTTTAAAAGTGAAACTTTTTTTTTCGAAAAGCAAAAAACAAAAACAAACTAACTAAATAAACCCTTTATAATACACATACCGTAATTCAAAAAAATTGTGATAATAGATTGAAAAAAAAAACAACTTAAAGGGATGGGATGATGGCACAACTGAGCAAGCCTTTCCTTTTAAAAGGAAACTTTATCCTCATTTACTTGTCACTGCCAGTGTCATATTTTTATTTTTTCCTTCGAGGAGACCTTTCAATTTTTGACGCAACAGAAAAACATTGTTAATTTAGGAAATAGATATCAATTTTGAGTGCATTGTTGTGGAATAATGCACGGTTCGAGTTCAAATGCGTAGTAATATAATTACGAAGGCCGATAAGCCTGAGTGATTAATTACAAAGCATTTGAACGGAAAACGTGCATTATTATACAATAATGCACGAAGAATTAATATCTATTTCCATTCTAACACGTCAAGAAAATTATAATTATTATCATAAAGTTAGATTTTATGTTTGGTGGTTAAATTTGTTTTCGCCTCAGAGTTTCCAAAAGAAACGTTCTTTGAAGGCTGTTCCATTGGGTTGAAAATCAATTGTCGTTAAATTTACAATGTGAAGAAACATTATACAGTTTTTTCAAATGTAATTTGGGAACAGTCAAACTGTTAGAGGTAGAGGGGTGGTGTTTTGAACTGCTACGGCCTTGGGCAACAGTTCAAAACACTATCCCCGACACCGAGGGAAAACTGTTTGACTGTTCCTAAATCACGTATGAAATAACTGTTTTATTACCTGATCAACTACTGTTTTAATAGTACTTGCAGAAGAAAAAACGAACAAGAAAATAGTTTTGCACATACGTTAATAATCAAACTTAATACTTTAACTATGTCACGTCACGTCTGGTTTATGATCAAATCGATGGACGCTTCAAGTGGGAATCCTCTATGACGTCAATGACGTCAGAACAAGCGAGGGAAACAGTCGAAACTATTGACCGGTCAACAGTTCGCGAACGTGACGTTTATAGAATTTCAGAAAACAGTAAAAATACCAAATTAAATGTATATAAGGTATCAGGTAATTATATACAGTTATTTCATATGTGATTTGAGAACAGTCAAACTGTTGGCCCGAGATGGAGGAGGTAGTGTTTTGAACTGTTGCCCAAGGCCGGAGGCCGAGGGCAACAGTTCAAAACACTATCCCCGACACCGAGGGACAACTGTTTGACTGTTCCCAAATCACGCATGAAATAACTGTTTTATTACCTGATCAACTACTGTTTAAACAGTACTTGCAGAAGAAAAAAGGAAGAAAAGGAAGAAGAAAATAGTTTTGCACATATGTTAATAATTTAACTTAATATTTTAACTATGTCACGTAACGTCTTGTTTATGATCAAGATCGATGTACGCTTCAAGTGGGAATCCTATATGACGTCAATGACGTCAGAGCACGCGAGGGAAACAGTCGAAACTATTGACCGGTCAACAGTTCGCGAACGTTGACGTTTTTAGAATTTCAGAAAACAGTAAATAATAACAAATTACATTTATATAAGGTATCAGGTAATAATAGAGAATAACGCATTTTGAAAATGTTGATAAAACTTTGTTTGTTTATTTTATTTCACTCTATATTTTTTTCAAGGGAAATACAAATTATTAAAAGTGAGATAAATGTAAAACTTAACTCGTTTGCGACACTAAAATAGCGTACTTGATTTGATTGTTTTGCACTTGCTGTTTTACGCTACATTGTGACGTCACGTAAACAACACTTTAAACACGTCTGTACAGCGTTAACGACTGAATTGGTGTTCGGATTCATTTTCTTTCATTCTAGATAGTTTTCACAACAAAATTCGACAAAAAAAAGTTTCCTATATCAGATTTTTCAAACAAAATGGCGCCCTCAATGTGAAAAAACACAGGGAGATAATAAGAACGGCGAGTGCATTGTTGTAGAATAATGCACGCTTCGGGCCTTCTTTGTTTATATAGAAAAATTTCCGATAGAATCAGAATTTCAGACATGGCCTTACTTTGCGAATTTTACTGATTAGGTTCTAAAATGCAACTAATAAAAAGATATACCAAGAAAATAACATTATTGCTTCGGATATTCAATTGCAGAGAATAATTGTCAAGACTGAATCTGTACATTACCTGTGACTGTTCACATCATTTAGCGGCGTCTTTGATGTGCAGCATCAACATTTAACTTATTATAGTATTAAAAGTTGTATTTTTAGATCATACTTAGAAATGTTTAAACAGGTGCTTATGATTAAGTCTTTAAATAAATGTTCTCATATTGTGTTATTCTAATAAGAGGACCAAAGAACCGAGGACCGATTGCAAAATAGCAGCAGTGAAATAGCTAGTCTTGAAGCAACTTGATATTCGGAGAAATAGAGATGCAACGAGTATTAGAAAAAAAATCTATATACACTCTTTAGTCAGTAATTATAGTTTAAAGGGTACGTATTAAATATGTACTGGTTTCCTTGCAGTTTCCGGCCCCTAGCAGTTTTCCAGCCCTTTATAATTTTCATCAAATACAGTCTATGTTTTAACAGTTAAGCATCTATATTACTTCATCAATCAGAAAAACGTTTGTTTTCTATGCAATACAGCGGTTTAAATAGTATAGCGATTGATGTGTTTTTAAGTTTTGTCTGTTGTCTAAAGCTACATTAGAGAACTTGGGACATCAACACCCGGGGAATTCTAGTTTGAATGTCCATGCACAATAACTGAGATTCCATTCTAGGTATAGCCCATTTTTTCTTGCTGCATTTGCATGTATACTTTATTTTGTTGGCAGGTGCTTTCCTTATTAACATATCATTGATAGTGTACATGCTTGAAATTCGTTTTTGTTTTATTATCCAAGTTTTGTATAGTCTTTACTGTGTAACCTCTTGTGATCATATTTCATGTTTAATTATGCACATCAGACAATCAGATAATTGCATGAAAAGTTGTTCATGTACATATTTATTAACATTCCATATTCACTTAAGTAAAGACGAATATTTGTTTTAGTCATTTTATAAGACTTTTTAATGAGAAAAAAGAAACTCTAAAAACAAAACTATAACAGTCGCAAGCATTATTGATGTAATTCCTAATTAAGAAAAACAAAAAAAACAAGAATGCTTATCAGATCATTTTAAGTAAAATGATTCAGACCTTAATATTTTGCTAATATATACATACATATATTGAAGACATATCAAGGAGCTTAAACGCTGATATAAAAGAGCTATGGTTCCATGTACACAATTAATACTGTGATCAGATTTCTAAGAAAAGGACGTGAAGTTAGTTCCATATAAAATATTTAAAAACACATTTCAGTATTAAGCTTCACAGGTGCGGCAATACAACTTACAATATAAACATGTTCTTCTCAAGATTTTTATTCATAATAGGACCACATGCTATTTATGTATTATCGATACAATATACATGTACATACATATTTCATTAAAATGTCTCTGTCTCAAAAATGTAAGGACTTTTCAAGTGTTACTTAAGATCTGAAGTAATTGTTTAGCCTATCACATATTATTTCCTTTTTTTTTTATAAGTCTCATATGTCAGTTTAATTATCTAGATTAAAAATGATTTTCTAAGGATCATTGTAAACATAAGTGTTAATTTGGTATCTATATGTATATATGTAAAATTTTGAGACGCTGTGTTAAATAATTTTCATATAGAATAGAAAGGTTGTTTTGTTTACAAAACTAATATTTCACAAACAATATTTTCACTAGCTGGAGAAAAGCATTCTAAAAAAACTAGCTTCCCTTATTGATAATTTTTTACAATAATTATTTTTGGTCCAAATATTTAGGGACCTATCTAATATATTAGTGTATAAGTTATAAAACCACGAACGAGCATTTTGTCCCTTTTAAGAGCTGTATCTGATAAACTACATCTACATTTACTAGAACATTACACGAGTTGAAAGTTTGTTAATGTTTGTAATAATATCAAAATATCAAGTCTATTTATTAATGTTTATCGGTAGGGAAAATATATGCAAGAGTTGAACTGTAGTTCATATAGTCATTCCATCAATGCAGTTTCTTTAAATGTTTACCGGTGAGTTGCAGAATATTAGCATTGCTGAAATAAGAAAGAAAAAACATGTTGTTAGTAATAATAGAATAGTAAACATACAACTTGAAACGTAGAAATAGTAGAAATTATTTGGAAAGCAGCATGTGTCTTAGCATAACTTCACTATAACGCTAAAATATTGCGCCCACCGCTACACCTTATAACTGAAAGATTGTCATACTTTAACCTGATTGTTTTCTATTTTTAATAAGCCATGCAATGCATTATAATTAGACAATTATTCGACAACCATGAATCTCTGGTTTGAGAGATAAATATTTGGAGCTTGCTGCAAAAAATATCGGATTTACTAAATTACAATAATCTGGCGACTAATGTTGATAATCACCAGGAAGATCACCAGGAAGACCTAAAGGCACAACACTCGGTGTCGCTAGCGTTTTAATTCCTATTTTCAATATGATACAATTGGTTTAATTGTATTTATTGAAGCTCGATTGCGAAACATGTCCTTTCAACTTATATTAATCACTTTCTTCTAGTCCGCTTCCTGGAACGAAACAGTACTGGTGTCTTATGACGAATCATGGTCGTGACCCAAGTAGGGCTTGACCCCAAGATCCCTGGCGGGTTGAGTGGCAAACACCTTAACCATTAGGCCATCACTCCCCTTATAATACTATTGAAATATGACATTGAGTAACTTCAGAAAAATGGTTTACCGTAAGATTGATCAAGTTGGCTTCGTTACAACACGCAAAATTACACGCTTTACAGATCGACATCTGCCTGTCAGTTAAAGCTGGGGGCATGTATCTCTTCATCAGTGTTTCCGCTACAAATACAGAATAAAAGATTGGCGAATCTATAACATGTATCATCTTATGTTTTATAAAATCCAATTTTTTCATAGTAAAGTTATCTTTGATCAGCTTCATAATGCACTTTTGTTTAAGGTAGACCATGGGTAATAGGCACCATAAGGAACTGTAAAATTGACAACATAGGATAGTTATATATCTTCAAGGTCACCTGTATGAAAAATGTAAATAGAATTTACCGTGTGGTTTATGAGTTATGGATATATTTCTGAACTAAGACTTTGCCATTAGAAGAGCTTATTTTCAGAAATGAGGAAACTCTAAATAATCTGTAATATCATCGTTATAAAAAATATTTTTCTATTGCTTATTGTTAAGAAAGAAATAATAGCATTCAGGTAACAAATTACACAAGCAAAATGTTTGTTTCTAAACAAAATGTTTTAAATAGGTATAAAAAATGTTACCATACCCCACCCACTTTAAACACTAATTTTACCATTTTCCTATATAAAATGCATTATTCAAAATATCCCTAAAACTAACCATAATGAGGAGATATTTTCAAAGTTTGCCTAAATTTTCTTTATGGTATAATGGTTGATAACGCGGAATATAAAATACTTTTACCGTGTAGATTTTATTTTTTTAAACTTTGAAAATATCTGGTATCATATTTGCTATAAAGTTTGGCATTATTTAGCAAATAAATACCTACAATAATTATATAATTTAAATCAAACCCTTTTTTTCTTCCATATGGGATCAGAGATATACATAAATAATGTTAAAAAGAAAAAAAATGAAAGAAAAAAAAGTTGCCCCTTTTCGGGTTTGAACCCACGCCCCTAAATTTCGATGTAGTTGGCAAACGATTCTATCCTATTTGAATACTCTTCAAAGTGGAGGTAATGCATTACCCATGGTCTACCTTAATTGTGCCTTTATATATTACAATTGGTTTAAACAATATCTTATCTTCATATTTATTTACACACATATTGTCTATTCTTCACAATTCAAATAAAAAAGGGAAATAATTATACATAATAATTATTTGTGTTTATAAAATATACAGAAATGAGGTTAAAGCTTAGAAGCTTATACTTCGCCCCACTTCGTTTTCTGTCTATAATGTATTATATTGTTGTTATATGTAGAAATTAGTTTCTTTTAAAGTCGTAAAAATGCTTCAAGCAACAGAGCTTTAGACGTTAAAATGAAATATGAAATACAATTTCAATGAAACGGTAAAGTCTGGTCTAGCCAGGTTTAAGATATATTCTAATTGACCTCCCTATTAAAAATTCTATTAAAATTAAAAAAGAGACCCATGAGTCGCTCACCAGAAACAACTACTTTTCAGTAATACATGTATATAATAGACTACTTAAGAATGCCACATACAAAGTTTGGTGATCATCTATCTATTAGTTCTGTAGAAGCAGATTTTAAAGGGTATTTCTTTTTTTGGCTTTTAGAGCCCCTAAAAGGGGCCAATCAAATTAATATGAGCAAACTTGATAAAATACTACATACAAATGCTACGGACACAGTTTTGTGATCATCCATCAATTTTTTCAGTGGGAGATGATGTTTAAAGGGTTTTTTCCTATTTCTAGCTCTAGAGACCCTTAAAAGGAGCCAATTAAATTTAATTGAGCAAATATGATACAGAACTACCTAAGAATGTTACAAACACAGTTTGGTGATCTTCCATCATTTAATTAATAGTAGAAGAAGTTTAAAGGTTTTCTATTTTTAGCTCTGTTGACCCCTAAAAGTGCCAATTGAAATTACATGAGCAAATTTAAGTGTGACTGTCACAAGGCTGCTTGCTACATACCAAATTTGAGGTAAATCTGCCCATCAGTTTCAGAGAAGAAGATGATGGTTGATGCATGACAACGGACGCCGGAGTATTCCCCTTTGATACTAATTGCTCACCCCGAACCTTTGGTTCTGGTGAGCTAAAATGATATGAGGAATTGTTAATAAAACTTGTTCTGCGCATTTGTAAGCCGATATAAATAGAAAGGATAATTTTTTAACTTATTACCAGCTCGTATTTTAAGTTAGTTAATGCACATGCATGTATTTGTAAGATGTAATTATTTAGTTATAACATGTTATTGCCACAAATAATAGCAACTATCAATATCAAAGCTGATAATTCTATTCTCTGTATAATGTTATAGACGATCACGAATCTAGGTAGGCTACGAAAACAAAGTATTAAGGAGGTTTTTCTTCTTCTTAGGATAAATACATTAACTTGTTGTATAACAGATTGGTTGTATTTGTTTTTTGTTGTTGTTGTTTTTTATAATGAGATAAAATTGTCTAACAAGTATTTCCTAAAAATACTGTTGGGTAACCAGATTTTCTTCATCAACAGCGTCAATTGAACATTTAATTTCAGATGTGTAATCTCTGAGAAACATATATGGATATTTATTCATATATTTATGATATACTTACACGGTTCGTAATAGGAATAAATTTCGATGAGGGGTAGTTCCTGCAAGGCAACACACTTTTGGAAGGGAAAGGGTAAAAGCCATTTGAATGGAATCTAGAGTAATAAAAACTTTTTCAATTTTTTTACTTTGCATTCCCCATCTTCAACCCAAATTTAAATTTTGTAATAACAAAAAATTGGAATCCAAAAATACAATAAAAATCGTTTAAAACTAAATGTTTTTTCCTTTTTGAAAAAACTCATTTTTTTTAAACTTATTGACTTCATCTCCTTTTAAAATCAGCATTGGTACTTAAACATTTCTTAATGTGCTTATAAAACAAGAAGGTGAAAATGGACAATGTGTATCCTTTAAATTGCGATATATTAATAATTGTGTTTTTGCTAAAAAATTTTTGTAAATGAAAACTTGGTAAAGGTTTTTAATATTGTTTTTTATATTTCTTTTTTTTTCTTTTTTTTTAACATTTACCTGGTCAAAGTAGAGAACAAGCCTCTCGTTTTCATATTCACGCCTTTTAATTGTAATATCTGAAACAATTTTGTCTACATTTGGTTTGAAACCTGATATCGATCCAATATCAATGATTGCCATGTTGCTTTTTTCGTTTGCAACCTTGTACCTACAAAAAATTATAAAGCATTGTCTTGATATTTAAAATTATTCCGACAAATCATCTCTTGTCAAAACCATAAATATAGTGTTAATTTTTGGCCCCCACCTATCCTCCTGTTTTGTCTGCCAGAGTTAGATATATTTTTCCTTTCCTGATTTCAGAAACATTTTCTTTATAATACAAACTTCAGAGGTGATACAATTTTGTTCTCTGTATAGTTAATGTTATGATTTAATACACTGAAAGAAAGCAATAATTGTTTGATATTATGAAATACTTCATAAAAACATCTTCAATCTGATATTATGCTCTGTAACATTACAATTGTCCAATAAAATTGAGTTCACAATATCAAAATCCTATATACGTATCATAAGTCATGAAGTCAATCAATTTAATCTCCTATATGCCTTGCCATTAAACTGCTGAAACCAAAATTGCAAAGCATATATCACCTGCCAAGGATAATGTCATTATGTATATTCGTAAGTCAGGCCAAGCTCTATGACGTGCTCTTTTCTAAGCAACGCTTAAATGTAAAAACTTATATTTTAATTGATGATGAACTGTAACTAAATGGATGTTTGACAAAATATCAATACAAATTATGTATCAACAAAGTTGACGGAACGCAAACCTGTCACGCCGGACAACATAAAAGACTTTGTTTGTTGTGTAATGATGTGTACATTTTAAATAGTAGTGCAAAAATACAAACATATCAGATTGATGTTGGCAACGAGAACCAAAAATGAAAGTATAATAATTAAAATGTAGTCAATTCAGGAAAAATAATTGATAATAAAGAATAATTAATTGTCTACCTGGCACACACTTTCAATGAATACGTATTTGCTGTATCATCAAACGGAGTCAATGTTAAATCATAAGCGTCGCTTGTTTCGCTGGTGACATGGTAAAACTGGTTAATCTAGAAAAAGAAAATCCATTATATTATATTCGATCAAACAAGCTGTGAATTAATATATTGACAAATAATTTGTTTACTGCTTTTTTAAAGAGATGCATTTTAATGTTTAACTACACTGTAACATCAATCAATTTAGGTATTTAAGTCTTTTGTCGTTTTTTAAGCTCATTTTTCATTAAAGATAAAATATATGTACATATATGCACGGAAATAAGATATAGCAATTTTCCCTCCTATTTGGCAGTATTGTAGGCGTAAAGCATAAGAATAGATATATACTTAACAAAGTAAATAATAACTCTGACAAAAGCAACAGTACCTCTATAAGTGGCCAATCCTACTCCTTTGACATCCACTTGAATTCTTTGAACTTTCCCTCCAAGAAACTGAAATAACACAATTTAACTTCTTTTAAATCGGAGTGAGCAAATATATAATACAAATGCTGTATATGATAAATAAAACATAACATTTTATATTTTAGAAAACAGTTTATTCTCATCTAGTTGGATAAATAGATTAGAAAAATATTATCATAGTATATACCTCGACGTATTGTAGCACATCATGGTTCGCGCTATTCAAGTTGATCGTCCTTTTGTTCGCCGGTACAGCACACGTGTCGTTACAAATATCAATGACCATATCAACATTGCTGCTATAAATAAGTCCTGCAAACTCGGCAAGAGCTTGGAGTGCCACAACCGTGTCCTAGACAATGATAAACATGTAATATAATAAGTATGCCATGAAAAGATGAACAAGTGGAACAATTCTGCTCCAGATAAGATATTTTTTGCCACAAAAGATTATATGTAACATGTTTTGTTACAAGCAAATATAGTTACAGAAGACATGACTTACAGTTACATAAAATATGACAACAAGAAAATTGGGAGCATAATCTATACAGTACTGTGTGAACACTTATTTTCAATAACCTGTCTTAAACACCTTTTCATGTATCAAATTATTTTATTTTTAAAGTCATATCTGGCCTAATTTCGTAACCATTACATAACAAATCGAGGGCTCAACGCGAAACTAGTCTATGTGCATTTTCAAATGTCTGACATACTTAAATGGACAAAACAAAGAATAGTGGGGAGCATCCGTTTCCTTTGCACACATTTCTAGATGCATGTATTTCAAGGTTAATCAGACAAGAAATATCTTGAATGCAAATTAAAAGCCAATTTCAATCGAGCATTGGATTTGTTATGGAGGGGTGCTGGCTCTATTCTCAGGCAAGGTGAAATTTCTATGTGACAGTTATGTCTTAGATATAAAGTCTAATGTTCATTCAGAAATCACATGGGGTAAGTAGTTGGTCATTTGCATAAAATATGGTAATTACAGGTAAATTATTCAGAAAAATTGGTTATGTGGACTGACCGACAGTCAAGATTTTAAAAAACACTGCTACCTAACTTAATTAAATACATGTAAATCAATTGATTGCTTCCATCAATTCTTGCCACTTAAGTTGGCACTTTGAAATCTTTTTAGTTAAATTCAATCATAATTAAAGAAAAATAACCCGAATTGAACAATATAGGAAAACTATTGACTGATTGCAGTTGTATAGAAACAAGATTTCATTTGTAAAATGTCAGATAAACTAGTTTCGTGTTGACGCCTCGAAATGTGATGGAAGGAAATAAAAATAAAAGATTCATGGACATAAAAGCTTTAAATTTACATACCAAATTTTATTATCAATACCTTTTTGATTTGTCAGAAACAGACTTGTTAAAGGTAAATGCAGCTATGTATCGTTACCATGTGAATTGCAATTAGAAAAAAAGCAACATGAAATACTCGTATATATATTTTATGTTATGGTTTGTCCTTAATTCATATACACATTTTCAAAGTAATTCAAACGGGTTCGTAATATCGCGAGATCCACATTTTAGGTAAGCCAGGCGGACAGACGAGTAAACAGATAAAAAAGACAGACATATGGTAAACGTATAGCTTTTTTGTGTAAACACAGTTATCTGAACGTTCTATCCCTTTCAAATTTATATTATATCATGTGCTCTTGGATATCTAAATCATAAGTCGATGTCTGAATTCCAATAATTCTTAAAGCTATAATGGTGTTGATATGTTCCATTAAATGAAAGATTATTTCAAATTCATATCAAGCTATCATTTTATGTTATGGAAATACATAGTAAAAGTTAAAAATTGGTAAGAGGGGAATTTGAGGTTTAAAATAAAAAACATCACCTAATTTTCATATTTGAAGAATGCGTGTAAATATTTTTCGAGTAAAAGGACTATATGTTTCTTGTTCATAGAACATATCTAAACGATAGTGAGTTTCCTGATTACAATTGCATGTACCATTACAATCTTAAACAAGAACATTGAAAGGCTCTCCACGTTAAAGAGGTTTGAGGTATGATAATCCGTTTAACTTCATGACAAGTACGTTATTTGTTAAAATCATTTAACCAATACTCAAATATTATGGTTGGTAACAAATAACATAATCAAGTGGCAGCATGGCCTATTGGTTGACCCGTCGGACCAGTTATCTAAGGATTGCTGACCGTTCAAACCCTATCATGGGCAAGCTGTTGTTTCCTTGAGCAAAAAACTTTACATTTATTGCTTAGTACTGTTGGTTCCAGGAACGGATCGATAGTGCTTCAAAAAGCTTATAAGTCCAAAGACTATCGAACTAAAATAAATTTGTATAAACTAAATAACATAATTAACAAATTGTGTTCTGAAGTAATTTATCAGCAGCAAAACAGCCAACGAAGATAATCTGTGACTTGTTTTTCTCTCTCTTTCAGATGAAAGTAAAGTAGTAACGAAATTCCATTACATTTAATATAATATTTATACAAATCTAAATACAATTATTAGAAAATAGAAAACCTTCATGGCTAGCATTATTGCTGCTTCAGACCAATAAGGCGTTTCCTTGGTACTAAATTATTGCAATCAATAATTAACACATATACAGTGCATAGTATACATGTATAATGCACAAACCTGAGTTGAAAAGAATCCCCCGTATGGATTTCTGGTCTCAATAAGCCACCTGAGAATTGGCAAACCGTTAGCTTGTTGATTCATTTTTGTATATGTCATCAAAGCATATGATGCAATTTCGATTTCAAGAGAATGTAATTTATTCTTCCAATATTTCTTGTTACCTGCATAATCAATTCAATAGTAATATTCATTGGTTTGCAGAATGGAAACAATAAACGTCCAAACATAGCAAAAATAGTCATAAAACAACATCTTTTTAAACAAAGTTGAATACATGCATACATTTTTGGTTTTTGTATGCCAATGAGAGGCAGTTAGTAGTACATTTCGCACACCATCATGAAGTAAATGATAATTGTTTTCAATGTTATTCAGTATATTACCTATATAGATTAAAGTACTATTTAACACCGGTTTGGAGTTTTGATGCCAGTGTTTAAATATTTCGCATCAAAACAACAAAAAGATACAACGCACATATCAATATGATTTTCGACTCTAACAAGACAAAGTATGGAAGATCATTAACACCTTTTTTCTAATCTTATAAAAGATTTAATTTTATCAAGTTTAAAACAACTATAACCTGCACATCATACTGGATGTTTGCAGTGTTATATAACGTTGTAAGATAAACCCATATTCATATTCCCCCCATGTAAGCTTTTAAATGGCGTTATTCTAGTTCTTTGATGGCGTCATTTTGTAGGTTATAAATAGAGCACAGTTATATAAGCATGACGTGAAATGTAAACGATATAAAGTCAAACTTAATAAACTCTTAATCTGTATATATCTATATTGTATATAAATACCAAATCATGTGATCATTAAATTTGTCTTAAAAAGTCAAATCAAATACTGACAAATTGCCGGAGGTTATTTTGGAGGTTAGTTTAAAAACAACAGAAAAGTGTGATAACTATTATGGTATGATAACAAATTGTCTTAATATGACTTTACTGACGGTTCAATGAACTTAATAACTAATAAAAAAGTTTCTCTCTTTTTTCATAGTGAACCAATGAAGATGTATCTCGAATATATAACAGTTTAATATATATGTTTCAAAACTGCATCTAAAGTTACTCTTATTCGTATCCTCAGACAAATTTGTAAACCTAGATTAAAGAAAATAATGAAAATTATGTTTTAACAAAGCTCACATTGTTCGTGACTTACCAGCGATGCTTTTATTTGGACTATTTTCTAGGCCAGTCAGCAATGTATCTCTATGAATACTGTTTACACGACCCAGAGCGTAAGCACCAATTGCCATTTCATAATCTGAATTCATCTGAGGAACCCTCAATTCTAAAGCACTCCTCAATGACACAATGGCACTGTTCAGTCTCAATATCAACTGGTCATCCTTTAATTAATTTATTTACAAAGATAATAATTAACAATTAAATTCCATAAATGAGCGTAAAATGTACTTGTCTATCATTAAATAATTATGTTTTACCTAAACAGTGTGTTTATTTCTTCTGGTTAAGTCCAAAACATTTCATTGTGCATTGCATTTGGCAAAATATACAAGAATTACCTTAGAACTCAAATTAATTTATTCTTTTCCTTTGTTCAATCACAAGTTAGTACTTATAATAAGAGGACATATCGCATGTCATGAATACTTATACTTTATATAATTCTAGATGATAAGACACAGTATTACATTTATAATAACACAGTCGTTATTTTAATGATAAAATATTCAAATACCGGTAACTATGTATAACTACCTTCATAATTTCAGATTCTTTGACTTCTTGAAGTGCAACGAGGACGTAAGCAAGCATTGCTTTGCCGCCAGCTGTTCCACCCTAAAATCAGCGTACAAAGCGTACAAATCTTTAACTTGTCATAACATGATGTTATTTCATATACAAATGCAATATTTTCACGAGTGTGATGTTTTGACATATATAGTCAATCAAATAGTATCATATCTAATGAAAAACATTCTTAACATTTTTACCATCGGAGAAAACCTTGTAAAAGACAATCCCTTACCTTTTCCTTAATGTCTTTTCAATGCATACAGTTGGAAAGTAAGTTTAGAAAGTTATCTTTCCACAAACGTGGATAGTGACTCTTTACTTAAGACAGTGAAATAAGCAGATAAATCAAACTGTCTGAATAAGATTCATCATAAAGCTGGTAAACGTACCTGCAGACCTTTGTGTCTCACGATACCAATATTGTTAAGAGTACCATCTGGATACTGGTGATCAAGTATAAATTTTACAGCCCGTTCAACAACATTATTATCAATGAAAATCAGATCAAGTTTATGTGCCTGAGCAAATGACTTAACAACAAAGGCCGTTAACCTGAAATATGAAAGCAATTAGCATCATATATCATACACAAATACCAAACATTTATTACTCTAATTTGTCATTTCACGAAAAACATAAATATACCTATTTAAAAACTGACTTTTGAAGTAGAAGATTGGTATTCCGTAGATAAAAACCAAAGGAAAATATGCAATATATTATGAAATGCTATACAAATGCGTTAAAGCTACCACTTAACCTGAAATCAGCTACTCCTTTTGCAGAAAAGATGGTTTATTACTTGCATGATTACAAACTTTTAACTCCATATTCCATATACATGTTCTCATGAATTTTTCATTGTAAATGTAAGAACACAACATGTTTAATATCTAGAATCCATTTTAAAATATCAACGCTTTCATGCAATTTCTTTTCATATAATCAAACCTTAAATGTAATATTATTGGACAATATATTTAAAATATTTAAAGAAGGAACAATTTACCACAAGCTCCCTTCTTCGTCTGCATTTCCAAACGCACTGAATGAGCCATGCTGGTTTAGTTTTACGAAATGGTACCTAAAAGCATTTTTTAGTACAAGCAGTTAGTTGAGCTTACTCACCTATTTCGAGAACGCTTCGAGAACGAATTCATTTTTTGCTCTACCAAGGCTGTATTTTTAGTTCTTGACCTTTAAAAATCAATTTCAAAACGGCCACCATTGATTGTTTTTATTTTTCCTTTAATTCTCCATAAGCGCGATATTAACACATTTTTTGGCATTTTAATCTAAAGCTTTGTTAATTTAAGTCTGCTACAATGTGAACGAGAAGAATAGATGAAAAATAAATATTGTGGCAGCCATCTTGGATTTCAAAATGGCTCACAATTTCCTATGTTTTGATACAGTTGTATTATTTTTAAAGTAAAAAAGCGCAAGAAGGCTTTTTGATAGGCTTGTTTTCTTTTATTTTAAGTGCAGTCATTCTTATTTAGACTCACAACCAGACTTAGAATAACATTCATTAAAACTACAAAGTTTATGGTGCAAAAAGGTCAAACATTATACCAAAATAAATGACAGTCATATTTGCGTTTGTTTTTAGATGATATTTATATACCTCTTAGAATACAAAACATGTTCTTTAAAACTTTTGTGATGATTTTTTCAATTGTTTTTTTTATCGCCCTGAAGGGGGGATGGGTGCTCAAATGTCCGTCCGTCTCTCTATTCATCCGAGCGTGTCAATGCCTGTTAGTTACCAGTTGGCGTTGAGATTAATTCGACTTCTAGGACGAATCATTGGTTTTTGGAGACACAAAGGCTACACTTGAAGTTAGAAACAATAATGAAGATCACAGACATCCGCACAAGTCATTCAGTAAGAACGTGTCCCTGTCTGTCCGTTTTTAATCAAGTCCATGTCTGTCATTTTCGGATTGATTATGAAAAAGAATTGTATGGATGTGTGGTACTTTGAGACAAGTCATAAGAAAGATCATGGCTTAAAGCTCAACACTTCAAATTAGACTTGCAAGTGCTTGAAAAACTTTGAACTGTTTAAGGTTGGATTTTGAAATAAATAAGCAGGCTTAATTAAAAGAAATTAAGCATAAATGTGCCTCTTTGTAGGACGACATGTAGAGAACAAAATGTTCAATGTCACAGTCATGATATGAGATTGCATTGGTGGTCATGTCCAGTCCACATACGTTTTATTCAGCGAAAGCTAAGAAAACAAAATGAGGTACTGTACTTTGAAACAAAGTGTCTTGAGTGAGAAAAGAATTGTTGCGTCATATTTCATTTCATATAAATATTTTGAAGGTTGTGACTGGTCATGAATTCTGTCATTCATTGGGTGGATATTGGCATAACTAGGCATACATTTGTGGTACATTAGGACTACTTGTAATGCTTAAGCACTAGGTAAACAGCTATGTAGGTCAATTTAGAAAATTGATTGTTGTGTATATATCTTTGTCATTCATTCATAGAATAAGAAATACTGTAAGTATAAATTAATGCTTTTTACGTTTCTATTATTTGTGTAAGACTTATAAAACTAAGACTTGTAAAACTAATACAGTAACCATGCTTTCAATGTAAATCAAAGGACATGGATCATTAACCGAGCCGAGCTTCGGGGATATCTCAAGTGGCATGTCCTTGTTTATCTTTGTATAACCAAATTGTGAGGATAATGCAAAAATAGTTAGTTTACATTTTTGTCACTAAAATTACACTAAAAAATACCAAAGTAATATATGTAATACTTTTGGAGAGATAGTTTGAAATATATGTCTTGAGATAAAATAAAATATCGTAGTAAATGACATTTGGAAATATATTACATGTAGTTGATCGTAGATGATATAATAAGATACCATATCAATTTCTTGAAAGATAACCAAGAACAAAATAAGTAGTAAAATTTGAATATATCTTAGTCACTTGAAGGATTTTAGAACATGAGATAGAATAAATGTCAGCTTCCTTGGTAAAGTGGGATGCAATGCACATGCTGACATTAACTAAGACAATGACGTTATTTCATAAAATCAAGCTGACACTTGATAAAATACACCAATACAACAACAAAAACATATTGGACAATCACATCAGCGATGTTTCTAAATTTCACGATTCAACGTTTAAAGTATGATTTCTGCTTAGGCCGGTGCTAGGGGGCTTAGACGGTAGCTTGCAATTTCTAGTACCATCCATGAACAGGCGCAATCAAACCGAGCCTGCAGCGTTTTCAATTTTGCCGTTTTGAGCGTTTTTAAGGATTCTGTTTTTTCCCTATTTTAAACCTTGTCGTTTAGCAGATGTTGTTGCAATGACATGCGGTCACAGTCCGCATAGAGATAGTCGCTGACCTTTGAAGATGAAGGTAATTTTTGAAATATTTACATACTTACCTTAACTCTTTACAATCAAGTTATAAAATGATTTAGTGTTCCAAATGTTATTTTATCAAAATTAAAACTTAAGCATCTAATGGTTAATTAAATTGTGCATGTTTTAATGTTACACATTAAATTTTGGGATCTCAGATAACTGACATAGCTTAATTGTCCATAAAGAGTGACCTGTAATAGTTTGAAGTAATGATGTAATTAACAATTAAAGTGTGCGAGTATACCTACACATTGCGTATAATTCTTCATGACATCTTGCTTCAATCATTACTAGTATTATATTTTTGATAATTTGTCTTAGAGAAGAATCCATTTGTTTTAAAGCACTTTACTTATATTTGTAAAAAAATGTGTCCATTTTGAAATCAAAGATGGCCGCCATAGTAGTTAATGTTTGAATCATGTTTGGTTTCCAGTTTGTAATGCCTCTAAACGTTATTGAAACTTAATTCTATGTAAATACATACAATACGCTATGAACACAGAAATAATAAATTATAAAGTAAATGATAAAGGTCCATGGCGGCCATTTTGATTTGACCTTTAGAAGGTCAAGGACTTCGAGTACAGCCGTGGTAGAGCAAAAAATGGATTCAGCGTACTACCCGAATTATGTAAAAACGATTGACTACCAGCTTGTAATAAAATATGTCTTTAGAATTTCAAGGTTTCTTTTCTGAAAATCAGACCCGTCTATTTGGTAAAGAAGCTGACGTTGATATCCTTAAAGACAAATATGCAAAATATTTATAAGAAATACAAACACACATTTTACAATAGCTGTGATAATTGTGACTTTATAAGATAAAAGTATAAAGATGTGTGCGTTATAACATATTTAAATTGTTGATATGATTATTCCTCTTAATTTTGTTATCAATATAAAACAACATAAGCAACTACCATTGGTCAAAACAAATTATGAATAGAAATATCATTTTACCCGTCTTCAGTATGTTCCTTATCTTTTCTCTTTTGGCATCGTCAATGCGGTTGGTGACGTTCATATATAAGGCGGCTTGAATACTTGGCGCAAAGTAGAGCATGTTTTGCTCACCGCATCCATACGGCATTCTTAGCAGTTTATCAAGATTCTCAAAAGATGCGCCAAAAATGTCACCTGAAAAATAAGATTTATTTATTTATTTTATTTAAAAAATATAAAATATTTAGACTTTTACATTTGATCTAAAGTTAAAAAAGAAAACAAAACTAATTAAAAAAGGTAAAAAAATAAGATTAATATAACATAAAAGCTAAAAAATATTACTTTTGACAGCCTTGTTTTAATAAATGACAGATACTAAATGCTTCAATACAGAGAACACATTTTCGTTTTCCATGATGTATGAAATACATATCACGGAACATGCTTAAATTCTATATATTTTCATCAGCCGAGGAAAATTATATGGAATTTATTATGTCGAGTCAAAATATATTCCATATTTCACTCAGAACGAAAAAGTAATTTTCTTTTAATTTTACAATCAAGAAAGACAGTACAAATTGTTTACCAGAACCTTAACTTGCTATTCATGTGCAATTGTACAGCGAGCATATATACATGTATATAAAGTGCCTGATGCGGTTCAATACCAATTTTATTGAAACAATAATAATGAAACAATCTTGACAGAAAATAAAAACAAACCAGAATAGCCAGATGTTGTACTTTTTTGTGTATTTTGTCATATTACACATCACACAATGTCACTCTAATATATTGTGATAATGAAAACAAACAACTGAAACTGTCAAAAAAACACAAACAGTATGCCAAAGAAAAACATCTGAGAAAGTAGTTCCTAGTAAAAAAATCAGTTTTGAGTGCACCCACTTTCATTACAGATATGAAATATATTTGACTGATACAGTACATGGGCATAAAATAAAACAATATTGAGCATTGCACATCAAAGCCGTACATACCGAACACAGTAACTCTAACGTAATCTGAATCTGGAACTAGTTCTGCCGGATATACTAGATCTGTCGTTACAGTAGTTGCACTGTTACTTTGGAAAGAAACAAGGATTGGCGTGTTCTTTGCTTTCGGAATACCCTCCGCCTGAGGATAATTATTACAAATTATATAAATGACATTTTAACATTTAAAAG